CGCACTAACTTTTAGTATCTTAGTTTTTCCTTCGCCTGAATCAGTGACTACAAATTTCTGCTTTGCGTACAGTTTTAGACAATTACAGTTCTTTGTATTATATACATATCATGCATGCATATCAGTGTCTTTGTTCATTACAACACATGACACATATGGTACATACATCTTGTCGTGCATATAGCCACGACTAACATCTCCAGGAATATACTAAGCGACCTTTGCTTTTTGTCTTCATCATCATGTAAGTTAAAATATGCTACTTGAAGACTGACGATAGACATGGGCTTTCCTGTTCTTTTGTTTGACGCTTAGTATATGCTGCATTGCCATAATAGGCTTTGATAATTGAAGTGATATCCATAAGGTAGCCACTTCATACTTCTACATGTATCCTTTAGATCTCTCGCCATTGTTTGCAATGCGCGCGGCAAGGTGTGCTGTCAGTGTTTTATTTATTGGTATGCGAGTCAGTACAGCCGCTGAAGTGTGTAGATTTTGTGCTATGTATTCTACCATTATCATTTTTGTGTCAAAGCGAGTTGGTATAACTACCATGCTGGACAGCATATGTGTGTAATGCTACTTTGTTCATCTGAGTGAAAGCACGTATGTCAGCCTCAATTGTCCTCACTGATCATGAAATAGTTGGGAATCTTACATTAAACACTCCCAATCTGCAACTTGTCTCGTCTGCTGGTGTCATATCATAGTAATCATAAAATCATGGCATTTCATTAATGTCTGCATTATGAATATCTTAAAGTTGACGTCGACCTTCGTGAATATCACTATCTCGTTCCTACTGATCATATACATGTCTGCACTACAAATGTCAACACATGGTACATATAGATCCATATCAGTCCAATGAAATATCGGTTGACAAAGAACATATACCTAGCAGTCTAGATTTATTCCCTCATTTCTATTCTCTTCTCTTCATCCCTATCCTTGACAAAGTTGAAAGTTGCTTCAATCGACAAAGAATTATCCTAATTAGAGTCATGTCATGTCAACCAGTCACAGAAGCTGCTGGTGTAGACCTTTATTCCTATAGACGCTCTTCAACAAGGATGCATACCTTTACAATACATTTGAAAATTTTCAACTGTAGATCATTCAACCTCTCGTGATCTACATCTCGTGATCTAATTCATAACTTGCTCTGTGCTCAATCTCAGCCAGAACATAACTAGCTTTACAGCGCTTGTGTATAAATACGTCAGCAATACATGTTTCCCATTTTGTGTCCAATATGATTTCATCACATCCCAATACTATTTAATCGGAATCCTATGCTAGGATATAATCAATATGTTTTTGGATTTGTATAGCTAAAAGCTGCTGTTCTGTCATCATAGGCCCAACCATATGGCTAATGTCTTTATCCTGACATAGTAAAATGATCATCCCTGCCACCTCCAAATTAAAATACCCTACCGCCGCCTTATACAACTTTGCCTCGTCGAATCCGCAGGGGGCCTTCCTCATTCTTTATATAACACGTATAACATTACTAGTTTACCTTGAACGCGGTAACCATCGAAGACAACGAAAAGCCTCACGGTACCCAACCCATAAGACTGTAACGTGGAAATGACGCCCATATATCTAAAAGTAGAGGTTGGTAGTTGTTCTCACGCACTATCTCAATAGCATGTGTCGACATGAATCTATGAGCGATGAAACTAGCGTGAATACCTAAGACCCCGATAATGTGACTTAAAGGGTCTTTACTGGCATGGGTCAGCATAGACCAAATAAATCTGTAACGTCCATGTCACTAAACTAGAATTCTTGACTCTCGTCCGATTTTATTTCGTGATTACTTAATTTGTGTGCTTCACCATATTGCATGATCTTGATATTAACTCGCGCTTTCTTCCGCTCGAATTGTTCTTACGTACACTGCCTGTCCCTTGTTGTGTGTCAGAAAAATCCAACCGCTGCTGGACTGATCTACCACTATTGTGGGCACTCGGTGGTATAATCTTTCTGCTTATATCTGACACTTCTTGATCTTCGCAAAGCCCTGCTTGTAGATGGCGCTAGTGATTACGAGTACAACCAAAACAAGCCAGATCATGGTAAATCGTAGCAAAGCAACAGCCTAGTTTTCGGCCCTTAAAATGACTAATCTCTCCGGGCCTCGGTGTCACCGCTTTATACATACACCCTAATCCACGCCACTGCATACATGCCACTTCTTTTCACATAACATTCACAATCTTGTTTCCGCTTCGATTACTATATTCGCTTTGTATTTGGTGCAACTAAAGGCTTCTTTGCACCTCCTTGGTAGTGTTCTAGACATTGAAGCAAATAATGCGAGTACTGTGGCGTATTTGCAATGTGTACATGTGTGCGCTCGATTACCGATATTCATTTAAGGATAATATGATAATTGCAAGATAATTTACAGTAAGATCCTGGTACAAGCACTTTGGGTTTTAGGATTTTACTATCTATACCGGTTCGGTGCTTACATGTGTATATTAAAATGTAATAGTGCCCTACTACATATTACCTACTATTCTTTTAGTGACCTTGTTGATTCTCTAAAACATACAGATCCCGGATTTCCGGCAGAGAACAAAGGACCAATCAAAATTTGTTAATTCCAAAAACCAAAAAACCCACCATGGGTAGGCTTTCGGCAGTCGGCACTTTTAATAGTGAAATGGGTTCATTACGTATACCAGAAACGTCAACGAGACCCTCCGGACTTGTGTTTACGATAGCAAACACCAAAACTGTACACACATGGTGTAAGAGTGTAATGTAGTAGACTTTAAAAATATGGTACAAATGTATCTAAAGAATGGACCGTTCGAATGAAGTTATTTAT